CCTGCGTAAAAGTGCCAGCCATACGCTCCATCGCTGCACCTAATGCCACTGGTGCCATGACGACTGCTTCCACTGTGCAAAAACTCAAAGCCAGTGCTAACCCATTCCTCCTTCTGTGCCAGGGTGAAACAGAATCCACTTCAGAATTCACTCAAAATTTTGAGTAAACAAGTTTACTCTTCTTTGTCTTCCTGTAGATGGTGTTTATTTAAGGTTTTTAGTGATGTGTGCAGGGAAAAAAAGGAAAATCCAGCCTGTTCTATCATTTATTCAGGCTCACGGGATTGACAGTGACCTAGATCCACTCTTCCAATGTTCCCCCTCCTCCCAAGTCTTTTCTCCAGTCTACAGCCACTAGCATGCTGCAAGGTGGGGGTCTGACTACGCTGTGAGATCAAAGTAGATGTTATAATGCTTTCCTAGAAATGCTTTCATAACAAGGTGGTGAGAAACTAGGAAGACTGGAAAGAACTGATTTACAACCATCAGGTCATGAAACATACAGTGGACAAACACACTCTTCACAGGCAAGGTTGTATGTAAATGTAGGTTCCATTTATTATTCATGATTTTATACTGATAACCTAACTGTGGTGTCAGTGGTGTTCAAATATACATGCACTTACACCAAAAAAAACAGGTAAATTAAACATTAATAAGACCAAATCGTTTCACAAAGACCTGAGCAAGTTTAGAAATGTCTCAAAGATCTTAGGTCTGCAGTGTGGTCTTCTGACTGAGAGGTTTGTAACCAACTATCATGAGTCTAATTATTATTATTTATTAATTAATGTTGTACATTTTGAATACACAAGCATTATAATAAACAGGAATGTAGCATACTTGATGATGTGTCCCGCTCCACATACTTCCTGTAACCTTTTAACAAATGAGGGACTTCATTTTATCCCATTAAATTACAAGGGGATTCCAGCCAACTTTACCTATTAGTGACAATGATGTGATTGCAAAAGAGAGATAAACTACACCACAGACCTTAAATGGACACACTGCCGCTACACACACAGTCGCTCTGACCACTGCCCAATCACTGTGCCCAGCTGGCTGACAGCTGTAAATCCACAGCTTTATTCCTCTATCAATTCTTCCTTCACATCCACAGAGTATTTCACTCTATAGTTACTGTGCCAAAGGTCACTCTCTGTTGCTGCTACTGCTGCAGGCTCCCCATCTCGCTCACTATGCCTTTGTCCGATCTGGTTGGAGAAGAGATAGTCCATAATCCAGCAAATCTGTCCAGACCACTAGGCCACCATTCTCCTTGGTTCCTTACTCTATTTAAACAGTCAGCAGATGTCGCCCAGAGAGGACTGATGGAATGCATCATTCAAAACACGCATATACACACACACATACACACACATATGGTGTACACACTGAGGACCTATTACAGGACTGTTACATAGAGATACAAATATTTATGCATATTTTTTATGCAGGGGAAAAAACCCTGGTGATCTGGTGACACTGCTAAAAAAAATCTTTATTTGAAATAACATACAGTTAACAAGTAGACTTTGACTGCTCGGAAAGTACAGTTTTATCTGTCCACACGCCAAGCTTAACAAGTCAAGTTTGTTTATACAGTTTCACTGCAAAGCTGCCATTACTCACCTAAACCTTAAGACAAACCTACACAGGCAGCCAGTCTTACGAGAGCAAATATAATCCAAAGGAATCACAAATGGTGTCATGCTAATCTTCAAAAATAAATCCCTGCACAAAATATAACTTTAACTCCCAGTTGTGAGAACGTCACCGGAGGAAAAGCTCATTGTGAGAAAGGTGCAAGAGCTTAATTTACTTGTTGGTCCCTGTGTTTATATGAGTGCACTTGTCCAGACATATTTACGTCAGTCTTGGCACAGGATTTTTATAGTCAGTGTGTTCTTTTTAAAACCTGTAAAACACAGAGCTTATCCAGTCTCTGTGAATAAATCAATATCTGATGTCACCTCCTGGCTTGGAGACACTCCTTTGTGTTCCATCAAGAGATAAAAAAAAAATATGTTGGTGAGATACAGTATGAGGTGGTCAGATCCAGGAAGTCGTTTCACGTAATTAATCACACCAAAGTTTTTATGACAGAGACAGCTGAGTCACCCTAAATATCCTTAATTAGCTAAATAGGTGCTTGTTAAATAGAGCCTGAAACCTTAACTGCCTTTCTCTTTCATTAAAACAACTGAAACTAATTCTGTTTTGTTTGTTATAAACAACCTGCCATTGAAACAGGAGAAGATCCTGATCTTCCACAGCAGACATTGTTACAGCTTTTTTCCTATCATGGTGTTACATTTTCCTGTCTTCTTTCGCTAACTCTGAACTACTTTTGCAATCTGTCTTCTTAAATTTCGCTAACTCTGAACTACTTTTGCAAAAAAAAAAAATACTATTATAATTAACATGACTATTAGCACAGTTGATTTTTTCAGGCAGCTTTTAAAATTTTCAAGGTAACAAGCATTACTCTGTTTTACCAGTAACAGTTTCAGGATCTTACTGCGTGAAAACGTTAAAGCTACTTTAAAGTTTCCTTTAAAGTAGAATAGACTTCATACAGTGAATTACATGCGCAGAAATATGGAAGGTAGAATTCTCAGAAATGCTAAATAAATGTAGGACTAACTGTCTCTTAATCCTTCTAAGGTGACATCATCATGAGAACAGGTTGTGTTGTTGAAAGCAGCTCTTAATTCAAGTCAGGCTAAAGGGCTAACACTATGGTGCAATTACATAACACAAAGAAACCACTCTCTGTCTCTGTCCAGCATCTCAAGACTAGATGCCTCTTTTGCAGCAAAGGAACATGGTGAGTAAAGACGAGGAGCCCACCAATATAGTCTGCCCACCTCCTGTGTTTGCATTTGTCTGCACTCAGCACTGGGATCTTATACATATAGCATAGCACTAAACACTCTACATGATCAATAAGGCTCAGTGAGGTCACTGCCCAGTCACCAGACCAACGATCGTCTGAGGGTAACATACGGCTGTGACCCCCGTGTGTTCACCCCAGCAGACCTTTACACCGGGACGCCTTATGGGAACTTGACCCCTCCCCACACAAACAGAATCCTATTTTCTGCTGTGACCCCGTAATCCCTGACCCCTGGCATCCTGCATCACCGAGGCAGCATAAAACTGCAAAACATTCGCTTAACTGTGTACTCCCTGAAAACAAACTGCCACTCATGTTACATAAAGAAGGCAAGAGAGGGAACAACAAACCCAAAATGGGTCTGCTCTCAGCCAGTGCCAGACCAACTGTTTCCAGTCTCTGTGCTTAGCTTTAATTTATTTGATTGGCTACTGGCTGATGTAGCTTTATACTTAGGTCTGAGGCTCTGTTTCATATAAAAATGGGATCTGGCAGCATAACTACATATAACTATATATATTACTAACCCCTTGAACACAGGGGAAGCGGTAGACATTTAACCCGAGGGAATGGGATAGCTCTTCAAGAACATGATACGTCATTGATATTCTCCAACATGCACAACAGGCACTGATTTAAAAGGTTGCTGCTGTCAGCTGTTTTTATAGGGCTTGTTCACTTGACTTGTTACACTGTGTTTGTCTGCAGCATAGCACAGACATGTCTGAAAATGTTTTTGTCTGAAAACAACTTGTGGACCAATACATGTTTTGTCAACTCAGAACAAGTTTTTGTTGTGGCACATCTACACAACATGTTTTTGTCTCATTCCTTATCCATATTCCATATTCTGTAATATCTGGGAATATCTGAAAAAATAACCAGGAAATATCCAGGATTAAAAAGAACAAACTGCAACTCAACTTATAATAAGTGTTTCAGTTTTTGCTGTAAAATGTGATTGGCTCAATAAACAGAGTTTTTTTCTTTCATTATTTTATTGGATTCACTTTCACTCATAATTCACTGTGGAGCTACACAGTGGGAACTTAACTAGAAGAAAATTGTTCCCTTCTAAATATTTGCAAGCCACAAGGGCATTATGGGACATTGTTCTCATCAAGCAGGAAGCCTTCCTATGAAGGCGGAGGTGGGGGTTCAGTCATGAGGAAAGGACTGTCTGTGCTTTCAAAGATTTTGTCTTAAATCAGCGGATCTGCTGGAATTAAAGCTCCGTCTGAGCCGGAGCCCCTCCACCTCTGACAGCCTGAGCAAGACAGCAGCCCACGTCGTGTGTGTGTGTGTGTGTGTGTGAACGTGTAATAGCAGAGGGGGGTCTTCAACCTTGGAAATAGAGCAGCATGAAGCTGTGACAGTGGGCTCATAAATGCTCACAAATGCAGCTTAGCATATTTCAAAAATACCAGACGGTGTGTGTACTGTGATGCACCACTAAACCTACAAAGCAGCTTTCTCTCCTCTGTGTCACTATCCTCTATCTATGACAAACAATTTAGCACAGGCAGGAATTAATGTCACAACAGATCTGACAGATTTCAACATCAACAACATCTCGACAAGGCAGGTGGTGCTGTCGAGCTATTTTCTTTTTTTGATGATATTATGGGATTCAGCCAAAGCTAATAACATCAAACCTGAAATATAATTACTGTAATCCTATACAGTAATGACAACAAGGAAGACTGCAATCAGCAGCATTTACTGTGATTCCTGTGACACTCAGATATTCCAGGAACTGTAATATTTTCTGTATATAACTGACACACTGACCTGTTTAGAGGCTGGGTGCAGTCCGATATTCCAGGAACTGTAATATTTTCTAAAATAACTGACACACTGACCTGTTTAGAGGACTAAAATATAAAAAAGTGTGAAATATTGTGCATGATATATTGGAATGACGGTGTGTGATGGTGCTGCAGTCATGTATATTTAGTTGATAGGACTTAGTTCATTGAAACTTTACACACAAATTCTATTAACTGTACAAAGAACATTTTTTGTATAAACCTTTTGGATGTGTGAGGCACAATATGTAGGTAGAACTGCCAAATTCGAACTGAGGAGAATTTCGTACCTGCACCCCCTGCAGAAGGCGAAGACATCCCTCCCTGACATCTTCGAAAGGACACTTTTTGGAAAGCATGAGCAGATGAGCCAGGATGTCGTTCAGATCACTTTTGGGAGGGCTTCCAGGGGCTGGAGGAGCAGGGACCAGCGCTGGTAAGGGCCCGATAATCTCCACTTTTTTCATGACCTCCTGACTGATGTTCTCCATGGCTTCAGTTCTGGAGCTGGCATCTCGACTCCCTATTCCATCCCATCTCCCCAGAGACTCCTTGTCCTGCACTTCCATCTTTTGACTTTGTAATAGTATTTGTGCTGTTTTAAAACAGGCTACAGAACAATGAAGATAATTAGATTATTACACAAATGTGCACAGGTGCACAGGTGTGTGTGGGAACATGCACCATATGTCAGTCAGTGACGCACTCATTTTAAATACCTTCGTTCAACCTAATGCTGTGATGAATACTATTGTAAATAGCACAGGTAAGTTTAATGTGCTATTTACATTTCAGAGGCTGTGACTCTGCATCGCATTGTGTTGACAGGACAACACTGTTGCACAAAAACAAAAAAATACATGAATACAAATTGCAATAACTGCATCTACCCACATATGTGTGTGTGCGCAGTAACTCTATATGAATGGAAGTCTATAAGGAATTATAATAGAGTAACTAGAGTATATCAAAAAGCAGATGCAGTTGTGGGTTAAATTCCAGGCTTTTTAGTACAGACACCACATCCCTGTTGGCTTTTCCCTGAGTAGGCGGATAGGAAAACTGTTTTGATGGGTCAGCAGCACAAGAAAAGTGTTTTATAACTAAATGTCTTTGTTATTATTGTAACAAGAAATTGCTTCATCAAAAGAATTTAACTATTTTTTAAATACATATTTATAAAACCAAAGGATTTTTTAAAATAATATTTCAGAGACATTTTACTGGTACTTATGAGTGTAATGACCAATTTCTAAAAAAATTCTAATAAAAAAAATTACGTATATGCTAAATGTAAACTAAAATTTCAATATATATATATATATATATATATATACAGACACACATATATACACATATGTATATGTGTGTTTGTTGTAGTAACAATAATCAGTAATAATAAAATTCTTATTATTACATTCTTTTTTTTAATGATATATTTGTGTTAACGGCCAAGTAGGAGTATGGGCACTAGTCCAACCTGTCATAAACGGCGCAGTCCTGCGTCAAGCTAAGTCACTGTTACCATTTTCTAATAAAAAATACCTCTAGTCCAAGTAGAGATTACTGGTTAACATTGTAATACCGCGATACCCTAGAAATTGCGCATTTCTAGCACGTCCTTTAGCATAATGGCTTAGGTTTCTTTCATTTTGCATTTGACGTGAATTACAATTCAAAATGTAGTAGAGTCTCCCCCTTTAAATGGGGTCCATTCAATCTCCCCTTGCTTTCTCTGTGTCATGACTGACCGTTAACAAAGACGCAACTAAGTCATGTTGCTGCCGCGTTTAAAGAGAAGGGGGAAGACTATTCCTAAACTGTTAATACGAAAAAGTGTCACTGTCCAATACTCACTTTGTGTACATTATTTGGAGCAGGTCTTCTATGACAGGACGCCTCGCCTTGGCAGCACTGACCAGTCCCAAAGTACAGACAGCGACAGGAGGCAACAACTTGGGAACAACATGTGATTGACACGCCTATCTGACCAATAAGGAGTGTGTATTTATGTATTAGGGTGGTGTTCGTGATATTCTGAGCAGTAATTGGTCAAAACGGAATCGCCCATCTCCAGCGGAATTAATCTATGGGAAATGTATTGTCTTACTTCAATGCGTCTACGGTTAGACGGCGATTTAGGACTACTTGTCCCGTCATGCATTTCTTCAACAGTACACCCCCTCCTCTGCTTGTTTATCAAAAGTAACAGAGAGGCCGGGGAGAAAAACAAACTGAGGAAACAGAGAGCATTTGTAAAAATCCATTACTTTACTTCAATGTCTTTACTCTCCTGTGGATTTAAGGTCTTGAAATGAATCGAAAATGTTAAAGAATAATATAATTTATGAATGTGCAAAAGAGTCTCATATACAGTATGTTGTCATTTGGTTTGGATTTGACCCATGATTGACGATTTTGTGGTTCTGTGGTGTTCGTTGTAAAAACCACAAAGCACATAAGACTCAAATACAAAAACAATAAGAATCCTGCTGTCAGTCAACAAACAGTATAATTGCCACGCTGCATACATTTCTATTTTTGTCTAAGCAGTTTGCATTACTAGGTTAAACATTTACCATGTCAATGAATAGTTTGCTGATGAAAGACATGGCAGAAGATTATCAGAAATCATGGCATGAGTAGGAACATGGTCAGAAAAAGACCACACTCAGCGCATACTGTGTTGTCCAGTTTTGTTTGTGTTTTCGTTGTTATTTTTACTCGTGGAATAGTAACTAAACTGCTATTGTGCAAGCGGAAACTAATTGGGAGCATACATTATTGTGTATGTATGTTTTACTTATCACAACAACAACACAACGATATTAATTATTTCAGTGTAATATGGCTTGCTCAATCGCAAAAATCTCAACGACACCAAATGTCTGTACAGTATGTACTGTATTTTAAACGTGGAGGAACTATTATACAGACGGAACCAATGCAAGGGGGTGGCTGAGTGGAGGGAGTTTTGAACTGGCCGGACTGTTTAGATGTGACCAGTAAAGTGGTTCAGAGAAGAGGAGACCACATTACAGAAATAACAATTCATTTGTAAATTGGTAGTTTCAGAAACGTAAATTATCTCCAAATGCCTGTAAAGGTCAAGGCATAAAATGGAAACTTTCAACGATCAGGTAACATTTGCAAATTAGTCGTTAGCTTTCGCAATGCTAACTGACACTGTTTACTGCGACCGAGATTACAACGAGCAGTCGGTGGTTTGTCTTTTGTTTTACCTTAATTCTAAGATTGCAATGAGTTTTTCAATGTTTAGAAATTGTTTGCATTAAGTTATTTATAACCGGTAGGGTGGCAGTATTTACGTTGTGATGTGTCGCATCATCAGGGAATTCAAAAGCACCTAATACAACGTATTATTTAAGAGATATTAAGATATTTACTATTATGTAAATGAACCGCTTGCTTTTATCTCCACAACATGGGTTCGCTGTTTCTCTTGCAGATAATTTTTTGCTATTGGTTTCACCACTCTAGATTTTAGACTCGCCCTCCAAAAACAGTTACATTGGCAGCTATTACCAGCCCCCAGACAGAGTGCTACCAGTATCAAGACAGCTTGATTTCTCAGGAAAACCATCTGTTACCTTGGACCGAGAGACCACTAGTCATCAAGTGCCTAAGACCAACTCAAATATTGATGGCAAAGGTATTACTCTGACAATATTTCCATGGTATTTCTACTATATATTGTTGGTTTTATCCTATAAATTCTCATTGAATTTCCCCCCAGATGTTGTCATTGCGCTGAAAAATCTCCAGGAGAAAATCAGGCGACTGGAGCAGGAGAGAGTCCAAGCAGAGGGGAGCTACCAGCAGTTTCACTATGAAATTCAGAAGAAGCAACATCACATTAAACAATCCTACACATGTGAGCCAACAGTCAGCGTGGAGACTGATAACTCTGGCAGAAATGGTGAGTGATAAATTGTGCAAGAGTAAGGTCTCTCAGAATGCCAGGAGTGAACAAAGTTTTTCTTCTTTTTTTTTCATAGGTCAAGAACTAGACTCAAAACTGCAGTCTGCAGAGGCCCGCTGTAAGATTCTCGAGAAACAACTGGATTACATGAAGAAGATGGTCGAGAATACCAAAAGGCAGAGTGAAACTTTGAACCAGAATCAGCAGTTCAACAGCCCAATTCCCCAGATTCAGCAAGATAAGCTGGAGAAACTAGAGTCAGAGTGCCTCAAACTGAGTAAAACCCAAACTGCAGCAGAGGTAACTCCTTGTTTTGATTTACATAATATACTTCTATGTGTCCTCATAAGCTGAATGTAAAAAAAGAATGAATCCTGATATTTCTTACAGCGGAAACTCGCCATTCTGGAGCAAAAACTACAACAAGAAGAGCAAGAGCGTAAATGTATACAGGAGAAAGCCAACGAGGTGAGTCTCTGTGACATTATAACTTACTCTCAGCTAACAAAGAATAATCTAAATGTAAATGTCGTTTTTGACTGAAAATGTAAAACGTATTTTGACAACAGTTGCAGAGGGAGTTCAATATAAGTCTTCAACTGTCTATGGCAACCAGTGAAGAGAAAACACCAAATAAGACAAAAAAGACAATTAAGGTGCTTTAACATCCAGTAAAGATAATAACAGTGTTATGTTTCAAATACATCCAGTGACGAGAGTTTTCTTTTTTAGAAAACACCTACAAAAAGTGAGCCGGCCTCACCAAACAACTTGCGGGGGAAAAAGATGCCTTTTGTTGCAGGGACGGTACGCAACTTCTGGTACTTTTCTACATGACAAAAAAAGTTTTAATTTCAGTTGACATTTATTAGTCCCTATTTGAACAGTCCCTTAGCCCAAGCCATTCAGTCCATGCCAATGTTCAGAGTATCCTTCACATGATGAAGCACCACCAGCCCCAGCTGTGTGAGCGAGTCAGCTCGATGCAAAGGTCCTGCTGTGGAGCTAAGAAAAGCCTCCAAAAGTCTCCGACTTCCACTGGTGTCAGAAGGAATTTCAGCTCATCCAGACAGGAAGATCAGTCGCTGGGCTCACTGTCGGACCTGCTCCTGGCTCTACAGGACGAGCTAGGACAGATGAGCTTGTGAGTACAACATTTATGTTTTGATTTACCAATCTTCTAAAATAAAAATGGCACTCCTTGCATTGCTTTTCTGTTGTCAGTGAGCAACAGGAGCTGTTGCGTCAGATCAACTCAACTCAAAATCTGGAGGAAAAACAAGACTTGAGGAAAGAACTGGAGAAGCTTGTGGCCAGGATGGAAGAGAAGGGAGGCCAGATCAGCAAACTCCGCAAACACCAGCAGACAGTAAGTGAACACCAAAAACCAGAGATTTGGTCTTTAAGAAGATCAGAGTTTGTTGTCATGTCAGAACTTTGTGCTGTTTTTTTCCATAGGCCCAAAAATTGACCCAGGGTGCTGAGGAACACACAAGTAAAAAGTTGAGTGGAATCAAACCACCTGCTCCGTCTCCTGTGAAGGCTAAACAAAAGGGGAAGAAAAGTGTGACCATCAACAACAATCTACAGCTTCTTAGAGAAACCAAGAAATTCAGAAACGGCCTGAAACAAGATGACGTCTTCTGGGAAACATGAGCTGCAGGACTGTTTTACATACAGACTCTGATGCTACAGCTGGATAAAACGCAACACTCTGTGTGGTTCCTCTGCTTGTTTTTGTTTCTTTCTTCAGATGTGGTCTCAGATGGGGCCAGAAAACAAAAGCAACGTATGAAATGGAATAACATTTTAAACAGTACTTGATAATGCAGTGGTTTATCAAACCTGTGTAATCAAGGGGGGTTGGTTTAAGCAGAATTTGATTAATCATTTCCAAGGGATTTAGATGTTTTAAGCGTATTATAAATACTTTTTAATATTGTAAATAAAGCGTGTGCTATCCTTAAATATATATATATATACTGTATATACTGTGTATATATATATACTGCTACTTTTGTTCTGTCGATTTACTAGCTCATTAGGTTTAAACGTCATACTTGAAACCACCAGGTGGCAGTGCTTATCTACTTACAAAATTTAATTTCTCAATCACTAGCTGAAATCAGTAGTTAAAATCAAAGCACGTGTTTCTAAGTATTTTTATTAACTGGTCCATCATTTAAAAACTAACTTCCCGAATGACCCCTAACTGTTGAAAGACCCATCATACCCCAGATATTGGGTTTTCGAAAAGTTGAAATTGGGCCTTAAGTTTTTGGGAAGTGGTTATATTTCACCTGGGAGACTTTTATAAATCTGCTAGTTAGTGGAAATCTTAATATGTAAACCTCTCATGGTCTGGGTCTGTCTTTTACATTTGACATGGAGACATTGACAGCACAGGTGACACATCATTATCAACTGTCAACTCAGCAAGTGTTGTTCATTCACAAACGCTGTCGTATAAAAACATTTAAAAAAGAAAACGGCAGATGTGTCCAACCTCCTGCAACAAAAAAACAGCTGACTCTTATTGTTTCTCTGTCCATTCAGCTTATTCTAGAGTCAGCATTGTGAGGCTAGATGGACAAGTGTGTTGTACGGGAGGTAAACATAAGACAAAAGAGTTTTCTGTGCGATAAATTGAATTAAGAGACACAGAATCAGGTTATCTGACATGAGTTAAGACTCTCAACCAGCATCAGGCCCTCCTGTTCACTCGCCTGACTTTGCAACTCCTTGTGACTGAACACCCTCCTTTGCTGACTAATTGCAGTTGTATGTGGACAGCAGTGTGGCGATGGACTTGACTGGTCTGAGCATGGATAAATTGAAATTGGCCACTGGAAACAACAGTTATCTAATTTGTTTTCCTCCCTAACCACTCTTTTACTAGTCATTAAACATGTGCACCTGGTGTTTTTTTGACAACATGGCCATAGACAGGATCACCCACCTCCTCCTAAGCCTATCTAATGCTTGTCAAAGGCATAAAAATATGCTTTCAGATCCAAGTCTGGCTTTGGGATCTGCCTGTCCTGGTACATTCAAATGTTAATATCATTTGACACATTATTCCTGGGGGAGAACCTGTTAACCCAGCCATTAGTTCATTCAGAGGCCAAGACAAAACCAAGCCTGAATCTGATGCCTTCTGTCGTCCGGGCAACTGTCCTTTCAACTGTAACCATAGCGATGGTGGCCCTGCACCAGGACCTGGCTGCTGCTGCTGCTGTTTGACCCACTTGTGATTTGTCATGTAAATGTCCCTGCAGTGTAGGCAGAAGTTGCTTTCGCTGAAAAACAAGACAATACAGTGCTTTGTTTAACAATATTCAAACTTTATTGACTCAACATTGTGAAACTAAAGGCAACACTGGAAAACTTGCAACAAAACATGGAGTCCAAAGAAGGAAAGCATGGGGGGAAAGATTAAGGGCACACAAAGTGAGCAGAAAACATTTCTAGACTCATTGTCATTGTCCACAAATATAATGATGTGTGTGCATGTGTGTTACTGTTTGGATGGGAAAAAAAGTCGAAATATCCATACCTGCATAACTGGTCAAAATCAAATATCACACACAGGAGGGAATCATAAAAAAAAGACTTGATTCTTGGAGGTTGAGACTAAACCAGACAGAAGAGCCCTCCAAGATTACATTTCAAAATGGTAAAAGATGCCATTCATTATAAGAACACAAAATACAAGTGGAGTTCAAGTCATCATGCGACTGTACGCTTGATAAAGCAAACGTGAAGAACACTCGAGGTCTGCAGCTGTGTAATACATTACTGATGCTATTTGTTATTTAACACGGTGACCCCACTAACAAGATTTCTAAGGTCAAGCAGACCAGGCCATGGCCAGTCACATCAGTTGATGAAACAACCTTTTAACCAGTTTGGTGAGAAGTTTGGGCAAAGCTCATCTAATTTCAAACCAAAGGTGGTTTCCCTGACACACTGTCACTGACAAATGCTTTATTGACTCGTTCAAAACATTAAGGCTGGGTGCGACGAGACAGAGTCCCAGTGATACTTATGTGGTGTGGGCATGTAATCTAACAATCTAGACCTCCAAATGAAATCAACTGAATAAGGCACTTTTCCTTACGAGGGTGCAGGGGAAACTGCAGGGAGGCAACATAATGGACGTCTATTGGCATCGGTGGATAACAGACGTCTCCTGAAAACACCACACTGATGACATGTGATGCTGTGCTATTGAGGAATGCAGCCAATGCGACGTGCCCACCCAACGTCTGTGCAGAAAACTCAAAAGTAACAACATGGAGGCAGATTTTTGGCTGTTAGTTGTATGGCTATTAAAGGGCTCAAAACATTATTACAAATGCTATGCAAGTCCCATATTTTTTATGCTTCCAGAAATGTCCACACCAGTTCTATGTACAGTCCAAATCTTAGCCAGTTGTCTCTTTTGGATTCAGTTCATGTTGCAAAGCATAGGTAATGATGTTTGAGTGCAGTTTAAAAATTGGACTTCATATAAACCCTTGAAAACTGGGCTGAATTTGTAAAGAACTAGAACATGTGAAACAAACCAGGCTATGTTGGTCCAAATATTTAGTTTAGTTTGTTTTGTTTTTTCAACTTTGTGACTTTGGACAATAAAGCTATTTGATAAAAATGGCCGGTGTTCCCCTTCTTAAAGGCGTGTCATTAGGGGTCAAAAGAAATATATAAAACTAACAGCAAGTAAAAAAGACAAAAAGCCAGGAACATAACACATTTGAACTCACTAATGTGTGGATATTGATTAATTTCTAGCTAACATTCAAGACTGAGTGTTTCTACAAGAAAGACTTCAACTTTTACTTTTTGGTTGACTCATGGAAACATTTACAAAGACAAAGTTATGAAATAAAGCTTGTCAGTGCAATGCTCATATGTCCCATGCCAAAACTGAGGACTTTGGCTTTAATGCACACTGCTCCAAGGCATTCTTCAGACTAGCATATGGATTCATCACAAATAATCAAGTGGTTTCTGTTAGGTGTATGTGAGGAAAACAAAATCACAGGTCAGAGTCTAAGCATCCAGCATGCAATAATGAAATCAAAGCATTTAAACTTAACATTCCTGACACAGTCAGCTTCTATACGCAGGATCGTCCTGATAAACACTCCTTCATTTAGCCATTCCTTAAGGTGAAACAGGATAAACAAAAAAGAAGTGGCTGTGTACAGAAGAGACACACACAAAAAAAAATCACAGTTAGCAGCAAGCTAATTAGAAAGCTTGACATGAGCCTGGCCACATAGTTGTCGCAAATCTGCACTCCATTCAAACCTTCTCACGTACACGCCAAAGTCAGACGAGGAAAAGGTGCAACATTCATATGTTTGACCAGGACAGCTCTCCACCAGTCCTACATCTACACCACGTTGTGCTCTGCAGTACTCGTGTTTTCAAATCAGGCCCAGAAAAAAAAAAAAAAGATACGCTCTTGGATTTACATCACCTAACAGCACAGTCAAATATCCTACCAGCTCATTCTTCATGTTTGGTAATTAAACACAATTTACAAGCAAGTCCTGAAACATAAACAGTAAGACGGCAGGACATTTAGACGCAGTTTTAGGAGCTGAAACAAAGCAGAGAATACCTTTGAATCATCTTCAACACTCTACTTATACGGAACGTAAACTTCAACAATGGCCATTCAAGTGACAACTGTCTAATGTAGTCTTCAAATAAAAGGCTCTTCAGTCCACCTGGGATTCACTGTAGGTCTAACTGTTCTTCCCTATCAGCTCGGTGATACCAACACGCTAATGGCAACACTCGGGGAGAACGCTCTTCTGTTTCTCTCTGTTTCTCAGACTGGACGCTGTCAACACTTCACTGCGATCACTCCCCACTTTAAGAAAGGTGCTTGCCATTTTCTCACCGTCCTCTCCATTTTCCATGTTATACATAATTTAAACAAATAATTAATTAGTCATATTTTATTAGTCATCTGAAATTTTCTACAGTCGCTAATTTTCACCCTTTTCTGGCAGCGCCACAAAAAAAGAAAGGGACGGCTTTCTGTGCATATACATTAGACGAGACCTGAAGTTACAGTGGAGGGGGATTAATGGCTGGAAAATGAACTTCCTACATAATTTATTGCATTGAGCCACACCACTGGTAGTTGGTGTTTGACATTATGCTTTGGGTGAGAGATCTCCCCGCTGGGAACTCGACAGCAGAAAAAAATAAACCACAACACTCTTAAATGTCAAGGGAGACACCCATCAAAAAACTGTCAACTAGACCAGGTTCTGTTTTGGCCCCCATTCTGACATTAAGAGAGGTGGGTGTTGCTTTTTTATTCCCTCATAACTGACCCCACCTATTAAACATCATCTATGAACACATATACAGCTGTATGGGAGAGGGTGGGCGTGAGGGAACCTGCCCACGTTTCAACAGGCTGTGAGGAATACTGAATCATCGCCGCTGTCACATTTTAGAATAGCTGTGAACTCCAACAGTGTTTCCATGTCACGATGGAAATTCGAGAAAACCGGCCACGCCGCAGCTGCATCTCTGGGAAAGCTGCTCTGTACACATGGCTGACTCTGAGTGGTAATGAGGAGAAAGGGATAATGGTCTACACTGCAATGATGCATTGATGAATGACTAACAGCATGATGGAGGTGGGAGCAGCTACCAGATGATGTAATCCCCATGCTCAAAGCTTGAATACCATATCAGTAGAAATCTGTTTAGTCGTAGCTAAGTTGGACATGAGCTGTCGTACATACAAGGCATGCGGGGGAAGCTGTTACATAGCGCTAATGTGGGGCCAAACCACAAGTGGCACAAATATCAAAAGGTCAGAGGGTACGAGCTTGGAAACACTGTTGGAGTTGGTTTGTTTGTGTGTGTGTGTGTGTGTTTGTTTGATAAGTGTGTGCTGGGTGAGGGAGTCTTCTCTAGAAGGTTCGAGTTAGCGGGGTTTTGTCGGGTCTAATGATAATCTGAGTTGCGGCTCTCAAAGGGTGTGGTAGTTGCGGTCCTTGGATTTGCAGAATTTGTAGAGGAAGAAGACGACGGCCTGCAGGCCCAGGACCAGCACTATCCCGCCGATAAAGCTCGCAGCATCGAAGGTGGAGTTCTTCTGAGAGGGGCTGGGGGTGATTGGCATTGGTGTTGTGCCATTGGAAGCTGAAACAAGGACAGGATGAAGTAACAGAGATAAGATTTCCTTGTTCATCTGCAGGACTTGGCCGACGCAGAATGGAAATGCTCTCATACTTACGTGCAGTTGTAGTCACGCTGCTGTTGGTGGGTAAAACACTGGTGCCGTTTCCTGCTGCTGTCCAGAGAACATGCATTAGCCATTACACATGTAACATTGTTCATTTTTCAGTGACATTAGAATTCTGACTTCATGAGAACTCACGTCAGGTCATGCATTACTAGTTCTAAAACAGGAGAGTTTTAGAACTAGTAATGCACGACCTGACGTGATGTCATAAAAACCGTGAGGTTTATAATCTTGAACACAGCTAAAACCAACCAGCAACCACTGGAAACAATGTGAGCAACACAGAAGGGAGTAGCAGAGGTTTGGAGGGAATGGTTACCTGTGGTGGTCTCAGAGCTGCTGCTGTTAGAGGCAGTGGTGACAACAGGAGTAGTGGGGGGAGTACTTGTAGTAGGAGATGGAAGGACAGTTGTAGTCGTGGTGGTAATAACTGGACAGGAAGCCAACACCAGGACAGGTTGTTACAGGGAAACCACAAAACACCACCCACAAAGTAAAGATACACACAGAAACACAGGCAGGTGTCAACATTACTACCGTTGCCTTGGACAAATAGAGAGACAGAGGGGAGACAGGCCCCAAAAGGCTGACACAAAACGTTAACCAACAACTTTGTTTAGACTCAAACAGAACCTGCAGAAAACTTTGTTCATGAATTTCAGATCTGCTGATTCTCTTAGAGCCTAGAAAGACATGTTAATACAAACTGTTCTTTTCCCACTGCTGTTATGACAGAGGCTGTCCTCTCCAACTTACGTGAGCAGTCAGCTTTGGTGCAGTTCTCACTTTCTGCCACCGTGGCATTGTGACAGTTCAACGTTGCTATAACAGAAAGAAAAAGTGTTTAAATTAAGTCTGTTAAAGTTAAATCAGAATAAGAATTTAGAGACATAATAAGAAAAAGTGTGATGTATTTTATATGCAATAATCCACCGTCGATACACAAGATGATTTTAATAATTCCATCATTTGGATCAGTCAATAACAAAACTGGGTGTGAATCATCAATCATGCATCTGTTGTTTGTCTTTCAATTGCTGCAATATTCAGAAAAAAACACTACACTCTAGAAGAAATTTCTTTTAATAATTTTATCTTCATACACAATAAACATCACTTAGAGAATAACAGAAACAACTTACAAAAACATAATAAATTATGTAAATACATTTAAATAAGCAGCAATTTCTGGTGGAAGTTTGATTTGCATTTCTATGTCCGGTAATATTTAAACCAGGAAATTCCCCAAACTTCAAAATTGTCCTTCACCTGCAGCAGAACCTAGTGCAAACATTGTTCAGAAAGTCTGTGCTCATATATAATCTGTTGAGTCATTGTTTAATATTCTACATGTACGTTTGTTACTGTAAAATCGGATTACTAATTAACCACAACAGAAAAGACCTTTGCCCTGCACTGGTGTTTAACAGTGACCATTTTATTATCTAAAATGTCTAAAAACTATTTGACAAAAAAAAAAAAAAAAATTTAAGGTTGTAGTAGGAATCCGCCCCCTTCCCCCAACGGATCAACTCGCAGCCTGCGTCACTGTGAAGAACCCATGATTCATGACCATCACCTCCTTGTGACCATGGATCCCTTTCGCACTCACTCATAAGATATTTACTTAACAAATGTTATGCAACATAACTCACAGATCCTATTGGAATCTTATCTAATCTTGGAAGAGCAGACTTCCACCCATATTTATAAAGTGAATGTTTTCAATAAAACTGCATTGGCAAACATCTGTGAAACCTCCAGGGGTTATTACCATATATGCAATTTAAACACTAAGACTGCAATTATTCTGATTTTATCAAACTGCTGTATGTGTGTGATTTAAAAAAAAAAAACATTACCGCATATTGTTATGCAATAGCATTCTCACTTTTCCCAAAATAGAATTGGCACAAGTCATTAGATTTTAAAAATATTCAGTGCTCTAGCTTGTCATGTGATTCCACCCCCGGAGTGTGCCAGTCAGTCAGCAACAGCAATATTTAAGACATTTTACAACGAAAACAGGCTACATCTTTAAGGTTCTTTAAGGTCGAACGTTGGACCACAAATCTGCGACCTCACAAATCCTACTCATCCATTCAATGCATCCTGGACAAATGTAGCATTTCCCACTTGCAGCCCACCATAGTACAGACTAGCTCAGGCCTTAGCTGCGACACATCATAGAGGCAAGCTGTGACATTTGAAGACCTCAATAGTAAGATTAAATATACTATTTATTTCATGGAACTAGGCGTTGTAAATATAAATAAATAAAATAAAGTCACAATTTCATACAATGTAGTATATACACAGTGCTACTACACTGTTAATTAAGGAAACCTGTATTTATATATTTATATATATATATATATGGCACATGGCAGTTTTACAATTGTAGGATTATCACAAAGAGAACAAGGTTTATAGTCATGCGTGATATGCTGTCGTATGACAAACTACGTCAGTCAGAGCAAAGGACTTCAGTCAGGCTTTGCAGCAAGGTATATGGAGGACATTGTGTAAAACCTAGTTCACTTGTCTCCAAATAAGGTCACACGTGGCTCCTCAGCCTGTGATCCATTCTCACACCTCAGAGTGCTGTATTTAATAACACCAATATCAGGTTGTGAGTCTTTGCACACTTTCTGAAGAAACAAGGGCAGCATCTGCTCAGTGTGAACAATAAGAAGTACAGCTGCTCCTATGTGCCTGCTGTCACTCTCAGATGGGTTCAATTCAGACATTCAGGAATGTAGCATTTGAGAGCAATATAATGTCATTCAACTGTCTACTGAGTACAGTGTAGTTTCATTTTCCAGAGAACTATAGAAACGTCTGGTTATGAAACCAGCATTCTACTGCAGGGCCACGGAGCCATTTCTTAGAATACCTTTTTTTTCCCCAAAGAAACAAATAGGCACAAATCATTGCCTCACAGACTTTTGACTAAATAACTGAAGCATTTTTTATATACGCATGAAAAATTGAAAAGCTCTGTGCCAGTCTGTCACTGATTTTGTCACAATCTCGAGTTAAAGGGTTGGGCCATTTTCACTTTGTTTGATTTGACAGTTAAATTTATCAATATCCCACCCTGTAAGGAGGCTTTTTTCCACCACTTTGCTCTGGGTCAGAGGTCTACTATCTTGCATGCAGCTGTGAAAGGTCGGTCTGGCTCTCACCGTCTTCCAGGCTGGTGACATCATCATCACCACGAGGTTTGTGCACTGCCTTGCCCAGCTTCGTCTCTAACTACTGCATGTACAGAGGTAAATGTGTGTGGTGTCTGTCCACAGCAGCCTAGTTGTTGCTGGGTTTGTATAACAGCTGTCTTTATCCTGCACAGTCAGTTGGTTCATCACAATGTGATTGAACTGAGTAAAAGAGACACATTTTTCCGATCCAGGGCCGCACCTACATCCACCTAAAGAACTTTAAACAAACATTCAAAAATAACTGCTAATCAAACCCTGATCGTATAGACCATAACCATCCAGTCTCCAGAGGCTCTGGGAGGACGAGAGTAATTATCCTCCTGCCTGTCCTGTTCCACCACTTCATACACCATTAGCTTGTTTAGTGCTTCATCACCGAGCCATGCAACTTTCAGAGACAAGAGAACAGGGGTGTCGGGGGGTGTGGTCACAAAACCACAATACAACCAACCCTGGAGGGAATCAAAGCTTTTCATTGAAGGAAAAAGTTGTCAAACAGGTTGACACCCACAACGGTAAACAGAACATCTAAACCACTCCAGCTTGTATTAGAAGCTAATGCCGACTAGCTCACTGATTTGGATTTATTTAATCAGTCTCGGGATTGAACTAACTAAATCACAACCCAGTTCCCAGTAAACTGGTAGACTGACCAGTTACCTTCTGGCTGTGAGACAAGCACACTAACATCTGTCCCCCCATATCATTACAAATGCTTGCTTTCGAACATTTTCTTTAAAACTGTCCGAATGATGTATTGCCCTTGGCCCCTGGACTCTCACATCTGGTTTTCCCCAAAACAAGTTGAAACTAATCTCACTGCTAAACATGCTTCTGTTGTCTTTCAGACAACACTGGCCTGTATGAAGCAATAGTCTTCTTTGGTGCAAATCATATCAATTTCTCTCTTTGCATCACCCAGAGTCAGGAGGCCTGTTTTTTATTCAGAGGCAGAACATGTAAAGCAACAGTGATTTCCTAAAGTAGAGCCCATGAGGTTCTGTCCATTGTGGTGGTGTGGAGGTTTCAATTGCAACACTGCCCGGGGGCTGGGAGATCACATACCTTTAGCAACGGTTTCTGTCCTTCGCCTTTACACAAAAGTTTTTCCTGACTCGCTACATTTTTTTCCACAGTATTATTAAGAATAAAAGATGAAAGGTCAAAACTCTTTACTGCTTTGCACTGAGAAACATTGTTTTCAGACTGGTAGACATTTTTTGGTGAAGTTCAGCACAAAAGGGAACCGTGACTCATCCTTGCTTGCAAAGACCTTTAAACAGTCTTTTTTTAACCCCCCGCACAATGTCAATACCAAACGTGTTCATAGTTAATCTGCTAAATAAGGAACCTCACCATGTGTCCTGATTAATTTTGTTACTTTTTTCCAAATGCTTAACAAAAAAAAGTAAATTTGCCTGTTAAGCAAACATTCAAGTACATCCCTAATTTAGAGATTTTAGCTTTTGCAATTTTACAAAGTACTCAAAAAAGTGACTTTTTGGTATAAACTTGTCCTTAACTGCACACGAAGCATAAATTACAACAATAAAAAGGGTCTTGAAACCTAAGTACTTTCCTATCTCCCCCATCCTTCCTCGTCTTCTCTTCTCTTTCATAGTGTGAGGATACAGCAGGCTTCCTGTCACACATACTCTCACTTCCTGTCCTGTTCATCTTCACCCTCACAGGCAATCTGTATCCGTGTGTCTCTGGAGCTTAACGGACATACAGTCCATATCAGTGGACTCAAATGAGGAAAAACAAGTTTGCCGCAGATTTATTACAGCTCAGTTTTATTACTTCTGTACATAGTTAACATGAGTGACCAACTTCAGGCTGAACATCTGTGAACTCCTGTAACACAGACCTCATTTTATCTTTATATTTAACCTATTTCTGTCTTGTCTGTAAACCTTCAAACCCCATTTGCTGGAACTGATTACAACATGAAAACAACTCCTCTCCTGACCTACTTTGAAAATAAAAGAGATCACAGGAAGAGAACGCTGTGAATTGAAAGCAACTGAGTCAGGAACTACTCTGTCAGGGCAGTTTCTTTACTACATCTCCTCTTTACTAATTGAGGGCTTTTCCTGATGAATATTGTCAGATTTTAACTGTGGATGAAAAATACAGTGGCTATATATTTTCCTCAATGTCCCAGATGAAGTAATTTCAAAAAGAATTCTCAGAGCTGAGAAGTAGAGACAGATATTTCCATTAAGATAATTGAATTGCAGAGGCAATGATGAAGGCAGGTAAAAACCCCAAATACAAACACAGAGATACCAACTATTCTGTAATTTCTTGTTAGTAATTAAAATCAGCTAAGGTGCTCAGACTAAGAAGACTCGTGTCATGTAGAAGCTCGTGTCATGTAGAAGCTCGTTCACGTCCACAGAGTTAGCTCTTTATTCCCAAAACAGCTCGTTCACGTCCACAGAGTTAGCTCAATGTGGCCAGATGAGTGCAGCACTGGGCATTTAGTGAATTTTAGATCATTTTGATTATTCGTGTAACAGTCAGCATTGGCAGCTTAACATTCTCTTCATTCTCAGGGGTCACGTCTCCAATTGGCTCAGCTGTCTGGACAATTACTGTCACACAATGACCAACCTGTGTCACTCTCACCCTCTCTCCATTCACATTCACTGCCTGTCACACATTTTAAGATGACAAATACTCACATGTTGAGCAGTTGACCCATTGACAGTCTTTATTCTTCAGGCATGTGTCACATGAATTCAATTCGGAACACGGAGCTGCAACAAATCATGAATATGTATGTTAGGTTTGACTACACAATCTTAGGTTTCTACCTTGTCATGTTTTAAGAATTAGATGGTAAGGACTTAAAATAAATATGACTATGTAAACGTTTTTCTAAAAAGACACAAGACAGCATTACCTTTAGGTCTCCTGCCGTGACAAAATATTGTTTTATTTACACAATATTATTCTCTCGTCTACGTATTTTGAGCAGTGGGTTATTGTGCTTTAACTTCACATGTTAAGTGGTAGAAAATTAAACTGTAACTGTACATACTGCTGTTTTTATTTAAATGCAACCAATCACAACACAGCTAATAATCCAGCACAAAAAAAACGGAAAATTGGGCTTCGATTTCTAGGTTTGTCAACCTCAGAATTCTGACAATTTCCCATTTGAAAATAGAGATAGTCATGTGATTTAATGATTAAATTCAAAAACAAAATTCCATAGTCATATAAAAAACGAATTTCATTTAATAGAATTTCGTAAATAAAAATGATTCATCAATTTTCTCACTCTTACAATACAAATCTGTTGTCATTACAGTGTAATGAATACACTGTGTCGTCTGTTAAAGTCTATGTTGCCAGATCGAGCCAAAGATCTACATATTTTTTCTGTTTACACAAATTAACAGATACGCTGCAGTGAAACATAGTTTGATTTGAAATCTCAGAGGTGTGTCTGTTTACACAAATGAACAGATACGCTGCAGTGAAACAGTTTGATTTGAAATCTCAGAGGTGTGTGTGCTAACAGGCTAAATCGTTAGTTAGCTGGTCCTCACTAGTTAAGGACACTGTGCACAGCGATCAAATGTAAACTGTCATGGAAGTCAAGGAACAAAACATCCTCATTTAGATCTGTTCTAATAAGTCGAGGACAGATGTGAAATAACCAACTGAGCCGTTGGATCCGACGACACACACCGTTGCCTCACATGTTTAATCAGACCGCAGTTTAGCCACTAGCTCGGCTCAGAGAGGTCGCAAACTTACCTAGGTCTGCTGCGGCTGATGCGCCAACCAGAGCCACAACTGCGGAGAAAAACAGCAGCTTCCTGTACATGACGTCGGCCTAGTTGCTGCTCCTTCTGTCCCAGAAGATTGGAAATATATCTGCTGACAAATCTGTCGAGAGTGAGACTTCAAATGTTAACGATGTTAAAACCACGTCTTCCTTCGTCTCTGGTCGCTGCTGCCACTGTCCGTCAGCTACTTCCTACTTGACAGGTCATGTGGCATTTTTTAGTGGGCGGGATGAGAAACGTGGAAAGGATATGAAACATACACTTTACTGACGCTAGAGGGCCGACCACACACACTCACTCACGCACCCGTGCACAAGCAGCCACACACACTCACTCACTCACGCACCCGTGCACAAGCACACACGAGAGAGAGAGAGAGAGAGAGTAGAGAGAGAGAGAAAGTAACGCTTCGTGTTAGGACCTTTCTGATTTGATTACACAGCCCAACCAATACCTTATCTTTAAGGCTAACATCGGTGGTTCAGAATAAATAGTACTTCCACAGAAACAATCCTTTGAATTGTATACATCATCTCGATGGGTCGTGGGAAGTATTCATTTATGGCATTCAACTACGAGGGTGGGACGTTAAGCCATAGACTGTGTATTGTAAAAGGACAGAAACAGCCACAGGGCTGTGTTAAGCTCTGAAAAAATACAGGTTGTGTACTGTACTTTTAGGCAAATAAAAACTAGACGTAAATACAATTGATATCCTTACTGTTAATATATTATATATAAATATATCAGATTATCAGATGATTCTGTCACTATTACTAAAATAGTGACAGATAGCAAATTAAGACATATTATGGCAATAACCAAACATTTCACTTACAACTTAAAGCCATTTTATTTTTTTAATTACTTGATAGAAAAACAGGTCATGTTTAAACAGGTCACATGTTCATGCTGATACGATCACGTACAAAACCAGTTTAACCAACCAAACCTCTTCAGAATAAGCTTTCAGTACAAACAGGAAGATGATGCATCATGACGTCAAACACAAACATTGTTGTTCTGAAACAAAACACCTTGCATGTAAAATGCATTGATCTGGACTGATTTAGGAGTTATACTGTAAAGTCCACCATGTGGCCCCCTGTCACATAGCACTACAAGAAAATTTAAATCCATAGGATTTAAACAGAGGGCTCCAATGGTGTTACGGTTTGTTCCGCTGGTGTTAGTTTTTCCAGCTTGAATATTCCACAATCTGATACTTTACAGTCAAACTTTGGTCTTTCATTGGAAGTGGGAATCTCCTCCAGTCTCCTGAGAACATCAACACCTTCAATCACTTGTCTGGAGTATAAAAGAAAGACACAGAAGTTAGCGACAACGCAGGATAAATACATGATTACACAGAAGTGATGAATCACTGTACTTACCCAAAGGCAACATAGGTCAGATCCATCCAAGCAGTTGGCTGCAGGGTTATGTAAAACTGGGATGCATTAGTATGGGGCCCCTTATTAGCCATTCCCAGCATGCCCTGCTTTGAGTGAGAAACAGCAAAACTCTCATCTGAAATTAAAGAGAGGGGAAAAAATTAAGGTAAACGTACACAAAACAAAGTATAAATCTGCAGACAGGTTGGTAGTGAAGGAGTCTTTCACCTTCAAACACTGGACCATAGATGGACTCGCCTCCATTACCTCTACTTCCTGGAGAAATGTCTGAGAAAAAGTGTAGAGTCTTGTAATTTGTCAGCTTAATGCACATCCTGAGACCTGGTCACCTCATAGATTGTTCAACATTGTTCAACAACTATATCACAAAAACCGGGACATTGTTCAACAACTATATCACAAAAAGTCTGTTGAATACATCTCTAAGCAACAACACATTCCACCAGCAGGTTCATTTGGAGTTATACTCTACCTCCACCTTGCACCCAGCCGCAAGGTACCACTCGATGAATCAAAGAGCCCTTGTAGCAGAGTGGGAGGCCGCTCTCTGAAACTCCCTGCTCTCCAGTGCACAGAGCTTCAAAGTTCTTGGACGTCTTCGGACAGATGTCTGTGTAGAGCTGAAGAAAGTACAGAGATAATTTCTAAAATGCACCAGGCTTAAAAAAACATGAAAACTTAAGCTGTTTTTTCACCTCAAACAACAATCTCCCGGCTGCTTCTCCTGCCAAATCAAGGTCCATGTAGACAAACTGATGCTAAAAGGAAAATACACGAAGATATGGATTTTGCTTTCACTTTATAGCTATGTTTGGCATCAACAACACATCTATACACTAGACTAATGGCTGCCTAGAGTCTGTATAATAATGTCATAAATCCCATACTGGTTGTTAACTGTATAATTTATCAAATTAATCCCGTTGTGTAAGTGTGGTCATGACTTGCCCCAGTTTTCTGGAGGAATTTTATATATTCATCCTCTGCTAGGTCCTGGTAGAAAGCCTTTGGTCGGCGGAAAGAGAAGCTCCATTGTTCCTTGGCCCAGCTGGACAAACTCTTGTCATCTCCGAGGAGACAGTCGTCCAGAAAGCACATCAGGTTGCTGGAGTACTGCCACACTTCACCACGCAACTCCTTCGATCACAAGTGTTGGATGAGACATGTGCAGTGATTAAGCATGACTGTGGTACCATCATGGACCACCACAGCTGTGTAGGTTGGTTTGGTTCAAAAGGAAAGAGTCACAATTCAGAGCTACGTGCTGCAGCTGTACCCATCGTCATTATTCATGACAGGAAAATCGTTAAATGTCCTTTCTGATACAGTCTCATATCATATAAAACCAAATGCAGTATGTGCTCTGCTTGCTGATGACATAACTATAATCTATAATTATTATAATTATACTATTACTCAGTATCAGGAATTCTTATCACCATCATTACCAAAACTACATACAATACCTTTATCTTGTCTTGTTGATATGTGACCCAGTCAATCTCAAGAAGAGGTTGAATTTTTGGTTCAAGGAATGCATCTGGAAATTTTTGCTTTAGTCCCTGATTAAGGAATAGACCAAACAAAAATAAAATAAACACTCAAAAACTTATGACTATATAATTATTTGCTGAAATTGCAGAAAAAACAATGTTTTACCTCAGCAATACATTTAGCAACATGGAAGCTGCTGTCTTTAATTAAACCAACAATTTCTAAACACACTTTTGACTGCATGACTGCAGTGAGTAGTCACACTGGTTTTCTTGTTGTTCTCAGCAGGTTGTACCTGTTTTTATTAATAGATTTTTCCTCCGTCTTGTGTTTTTTGTTTTCATCCAAATATATTAGATAGTTGCGCTTAAAGTCTAAAAATTTAATCTCTTTTCAATTCAAGTTTTCCCCCGTTGTTTTCGCCAATGCAGTGCCAAGAGCGTGTAAATAAAAGTCATGTTGCTATAGCAACAGACCTTTGATGGCGCAGGGATGTGACGTCAATGGCGTAGGATACTGTAATTCAACTATGTTTCTCGGTTTAATCACTAAATGAACACTAAAGAAGTTTAAGTATGTTTGTTGTTTTTGAAGAATACATTATTAATTTCCTACAGGTTGTAAAGGTAGTTTATTTTCACGCTTTGGCTTTTAAACACACTTAAGTTAATTATTGAATATCAATAAAATCATTTATTTTTGTTTTATTTGTGAAATGTGTCCCTTTTATTTAAGGTACAAATGTAAGAAAAATGTAAAATGTAATTTAAAAAAAAAACCGCTTCAAGTCAGAGACGTGACCCGGAAATACACTGCAGTCACAGACGGCTCTGCTCAAAATCACAAAATGTTTTATAAAACAATGATTCAAATGTGCATGTTTGTATGAAAATGCATCATAGACATTGTTGTCTATAATCAACGCTGTTATTTTTATTCGGATAACAGGGAAGTGTGAAATGTAAACAGTGGCGAATGGTAACGCGCCCTAACGGCGCCAATGTTTGAATACTCCAGCTTGCCGTCTTGTTTTGTGTTGTGTAGCCTTGCAGTGGCATTTTTTTTATCTAAATCACTGTTGCGAGTTCTGCTCATTACGGTGAGGTCATGGGTGTCCAGGATTTGTGGCCGATCTTAGAACCGGTTCGTGAGTCGGTGCCACTTTACAGCTTAAGCGGAAAAACACTGGCTGTGGATCTTAGTTTATGGGTTTGCGAAGCCCAACATGTTCAAGCCATGATGGGCAGAGTAACCAAACCTCACCTCAGGTAAAAAACAAGTTAAACGTTTTAAGTATTTTAATAGTGATTAAGTTGTTGTAATTATCGAAACTCAGCTGATCAAGTCTGTCCAGTGTCGTGATCACCCCTCTCGTCTCTGCAGGAATCTATTCTTCCGCGTCTCTTCTCTCACACTTATGGGAATTAAGCCCGTCTTTGTCATGGAAGGAGAAGCTCCCAAAATAAAAGCAGAAACCATGAGCAAAAGGACAGAAACAAGATTTGGGGGATTCAAAAAGAAGTTTGAGTCTAAGGTTGCTTCAAATACCACCAGGGGGCGCTTCAACGCAGTACTAAGAGAGGTTGGTGTGTTTTGGGCTGTTGAAAATATGGACGTAATCTGGGTAAATGTTCTAAATGCAAGGTACAAGTGATCCATCATACTGATACAGGCGAACCCCAAATGTGCTGTAACAGATGAGTCAACTAATTGTCCACTAAGATATTGATCTTGGCTTAAGATAAACAGAAAAGCTGATCATCAATAAATTAACTTCATTGCTTCTTTCTCATGGCTACTTTGCCTGAGCCTTTGTGTTAAATATGACCCTGGACTATAATCATGTGTAAAGTACAGTGTTGTCTCTGTAGTGTGCAGAGATGTTGGACTACATGGGTGTCCCGTGGGTGAAAGCGGCTGGGGAAGCTGAGGCCATGTGTGCTTACCTGGATTCTCAGGGCCTGGTGGACGGCTGCATCACCAATGATGGAGACGCCTTTCTGTATGGAGCACAAACTGTTTACAATAACTTCAATATGAGCAGTAAAGTAAGTCCTTAGATTAATTGAATTAAAGACAGGTTTCCATTGTTTATAGATTTATTTGTTTTAGTTTTAGGTTGACACCCATTTTCTATCATATGTTTATTATTGTTGTCATTTAACCAATGCAGTCAGTGTATACTGTCAGTACTGCAGGTCAAGTTTTCTAAAAAAAAAAAAAATTTCTTCAGGACCCCCAGGTGGATTGTTACCAGACCTGCCGTATTGAAACAGAGTTACAGCTGTGCAGAGAGAACCTGGTTGGTCTGGCTATTCTACTTGGCTGTGATTATATCCCTAAGGTAAATGTTTTCACATTCATATTCAGCTAATGTTGTCTGAGATTAATCTGTGTCATTAATTTCTATACGTCTATGTAGACAGGTGGTATTTTAAAAAATTATTTGGAAAAAAAATGTTTTTTTCTATTAAACTTATAACTGATTTTGTTTAATGTGTAGATAACAAATTGTAAAATGTGAAGAAAATCAATCCTGCTGTTTTGTATCATCAGTGTTAACTGTTTGTGTTTATGCTGCTTTGAGGGTGTGTTGGGTGTTGGCAAAGAACATGCACTTAAATATATCCAGTCCCTGAAAGGCCAAACTCTACTGCAGAAGTAAGACTTTTTTTTTTAAATCTAAATGTCACTTTTGACCTGCTTTTACCTGGACTCAAACGTGTTTTAATCTGTGAACTGTTTTGTGATGGCTTCAGAATCAGCCAGTGGAAGAAGAATGAGGCCGAAGTGTTTGAGAGCGTGTCAAAAAAAGTTTCTCACTGTCGCGTGTGTCGACATCCTGGTGAGTGAGCAGTGCCTCCCTTTGAACCGTGACCCCTGTTTCTGAACCTCGTATGACCAGAAGAGAAAAGCAGGGTGTCAGACTTCTCACACACAGCTCATTAAAAACTATTTTCACCTGTTGTGATGAAAGCTGCACATATGTGAGAGGCATTGGTCTCTTTTCGTTGTTGCTTTTTATTAAATAGTTACGTACTTGTGACTCCGGTTTGGATTTCTAAGGTTCAGCAAAGGCACACGAGCGAAGTGGCTGCGTCTTCTGTGACAGTAAACATTTCTGTGAACCTCAGGATTTTGATTATGAGTGTCCGTGTGACTGGCACCGCCAAGAGCAGACCCGGCAGGCTTTATCTTTGGAGACAAACATCAGGAAGTATGTCACTTTCCCATGGTTTATTGTTTAACTTTTGCACATTGTTTGCAATCAGTACGACGTCAGCACAGAGTCAGGAAACATCTCAATGGCCTTTTCACTATTTCTCTGTTTCTAGGAAAACACTTGCAAGTCCTCAGTTTCCATTCAGAGAGGTGCCGCTTCTCTCATACACCTGAATTTACATGTTCTCGCATGATGTTCTCGCCTAATACTCTGTTATAATCTGATATCATTTAAATTTAACTTTGCAGATTATTAATGAGTTCTTGACATCCAAAGATAAACCTGTGTCAGATTTCAAGAGGAGGCAGCCAAACATGCTGCTCATGCAGGTATATGAATGAAATAGATTTACAATTTCAGCTCCTTTTTAACCCCATAGTGAGGTACAGATAAAAAATGTGTATTTGTTTTATTTTCTTTAGAAATTTGCCTACGACAAGATGGAGTGGCCGAGACATTACACTAGTGAAAAGGTTTTAGTCCTGATTACCTACACAGAGCTGAAAAACAGGAAACATGGAAAAGAGTCAACCTCACAAATCAGACCAATCAGGTAATACTACAGGTTTCAGATGATTTGTTTTGTTTTTTCTTACAAAATATCCTTTTAATGAAATACTGTGAATTTTTTC